AGGGGTGTTCATATAGGGGCAGTGTTGCATATAGGGGTGTTCATATAGGGGCAGTGTTCATATAGGGGTGTTCATATAGGGGCAGTGTTTCACATAGGAGTGTTCATAGGGATAGTGTTCCATATAGGAGTGTTCATATAGGGGCAGTGTTTCTACGGTGGCCGAGAGCGGACATAAAAAAGTCAAAATCAAAAATGATAAAAGTTCAAAAGTCAAAGTGATTTAGGACCATGTTACAAAGTGCGTTTGTCTTTTTAATCAATTTCCTCTTGTTATTTTGTCACAATACATTTTGACATTTCGTCTCAAGCGACTTTGTTGTCCAGCATTTTGTCATGAAAGACTTTCGCTTTTGACATTTCTCCGTTTGGCCTCCGACATTTTGTTTTCAGGCGATTTGTCAAACGACCAAAAGCAAAACAGCAAAACAAGTCAAACTCAGATTCAAAGATCCCAGGCGTTCCTCTTAATAAACAAAGGTAACCCACGCTATATAGGAAAAATACTGCAACCATACTACTACATTATTCCCATATATTAAGTGATATTGAAAAAAAAAGTTTTTCCTTGATATACACTTTAAAACGTGTGACAAGACCTTTAAAAGATGTCACAAGACGGATCGTGAAAAATGCGTTACAAGAGATCGTGACAATTGCGTGATAAAGGTACGCGCTTCCTATCCATAGACCTACAACCAAAACGGAGGGCAGAAAAAGGCCACCGCTAGTTAGAAGGGTACTAATGAAGGCCGGTTTGAGTAGACGTCCATCACGCAACGCTTCATCGGTACGTTCATAATTCTGGATTCTATCCTTTGATCTCGAGTGTATCCTTCCACCTGAATATGATGAAATGCTATGTAAATTCTTATCTAGTATACTCACGTCTAGCACTTAACAAAAAGACAGCGATTCAAGCCATTGCGAAGACGATGGAGAATACATCATTCCTTTTCCTATTTTCAAAAGCATCAAGAAGAAAATTAACTGGTAATCAAAATTACTCTTAGGAAACAGTCGACCACGATTCCTAGAGAACCTGTAAAAACAGGTTTAGACAGCTGTTTCACAATCCATCAGACAAACATCCAAGCAAATATTAAAAGATTTAAACACGACGACCTTGAGGTCAAATATGAGAAAACTGAGGCTTGAATTGAGCAATAATTTCACTTTATGAATAGAATAATCCGAGGGCGTAGAATGACGTCATTTTAAATACTTAGGTCATTTCCATGATTGCGTCACTTATTACAATTACCAGAATCCCTTGCCAACTTTATTTCATTTTGTTTACTTCTACTTCCAATCACTGATAATTCCATTTTTCTTATAAAGAAATTCAAATTTAAATAAGAAAGTTAATCTGCGAATCATTTTGGTAGTGGTACGACGCCATCATACAAATGGCATTTAAATTTAATTTATCTTGAGCGCAATGTTTGTTTTTTCCTGAAGAAATAGAAAACGCGCGCGCGTGCTGTGTGCTGTCATAAAGCACGCGGGGGTTGGCAGAACACGAGAGAAGTGTTAGGAGAAGCACGACGCGTAGCGGAGTGCTTCTGGACACTTCTCTAGTATTCTGCTAATCCCCAAGTGCTTTATAACTGCACACAGCACAGCAAGCGAGTTTTTTATTTCTTTTATAAAATACAAATTACAATAATAGATAGGAATGACGCAACGGAATGAGCTCTCATAAAGCACGCGCTCCAAACCAATCAGAACGCGACATTCATAAAAGTTATTTTATAATTCATTTTAGATCACTCCGTGTCATTCTCAAGAGAATCAAATGAATATGGATACAACTCAAATCAAAGAATCTTATTCTTACGAGAATGACACCGCGTGGTTTGAAATATAGCAAACTTTACGCCCAAGGTAAAGAGGCGTATTCTTGAGGTCTATCGTGTCTTCACCAGTACAGCCCACCCCTGAGAATTTATTCCCGTCTCCACACCTGCAGGTGAAGCGACAATGATGATTTGGTTTTCCATAATCAGTGGTGTTTTCCGGGTGCAAGGGATTAACCCAAAGCCCAACCCCAACCTGGAGGGCCAGCTGAATCACTCTTCGTCTGGTCTCTATCCTTCGACCTGTTAGGCATGGGTGGCCCTGTCAGGAATACATGGCTCAAACCGACATAGCTCTAGGGGTTATAGAGACGCACGAACTGCCCCACCACGATAAGGTGGTAATCCTTTCGGAGCAGACTCCAGAAAAGGGTGTGTTACTAGATAGTACGAATCACTAGAATCATGAGTGTTATTGGGATTGTATATAGTTTCTTGGCAACGAATAAACTATAAGATGCCGTATTCCAGTATGAGTCTACTCTTAGTAGATCTATAAATCACTAGGATCATGAGCGCTGTTTGGATTCATTTGTTTATAGTTTCTTGGCAACGAATAAACTATAAGATGCCGTATTGGAGTATGAGTCTAATCTTAGTAGATCTATGAATCACTAGAATCATGAGTGCTGTTTGGATTGTTTATAGTTTCTTGGCAACGAATAAACTATAAGATGCCGTATTGGAGTATGAGTCTAATCTTANTAAACTATAAGATGCCGTATTGGAGTATGAGTCTAATCTTATAGATTACTAGATAGCATGAATCACTAGAATCATGACTCGTGTTGTTTGGATTGTTTATAGTTTCTTGGCAACGAGTAAACTATAAGATGCCGTATTCGATACGTATTCGTATTAAGATACCCTATGCCGTAAAAGTACAAGAATCTTGTCAATCATGAGATGATTGACAAGATACTAAATATTCTGTTTGAGTCATATGCAGTTCACGTGACGGCAATAACCAATAACAATGCGCTATTGGGATACTTTTGTTTCAGCGCGCCTAATTTGAATATGTCCGTAAAACAATAGGCATTCTGCGCCATGTTTCATTTGGACGAATCACAAGACGAATTTTTGAACCACAGCACTACGCATACAAATATAATATGCCTAGTGGAAACAGTTTTTAAGTAAAATTTCAGCCACGCAGGGCTAACTTAACTTCAAGCTAATGTTCCAGTGCAGTAAACGTTTACTTGACTTGTGTAAAATGCATGTACAATCGACGCTTCTTTGCGCAATTACACTGTTGCACATTGCCCAGTGCCGTAACTAGGGGGGGGGG